CTCGCGCTGTAGATGGGCAAATGCTCGTCGCCTGCTTTTGTTTGCCGACTGTGTGACACGCACACACAGACACGACGGCTGTACAGGTCTGGTCGACCACCGCGCCCGCCTTCACCTCCAGTTGTCTCAAGCTTTCTTCCTGTGACCACCATATAGGTCTGATAGAAATCGGATGGGATTGGCACTCCACTCTCTTTTCTCCTTCATCGTGCGCAATGCCGGCATTTTATGCGATAGCCTCGTTCTGACCAAATAATGTTTCGCTTCAGTCAGAGGCTTTTGCGGAGAGTCTGACTGCTGCATTCGGGTGACCCCAGGCTTTGCTAACCTCTACAGTCAAAGGTCTTCCTGACACTTGCCGTGCAGCTCATGCTACTGGGATGCAGCCGGAGGTTGCTTTGCCATAAAAGTTGCTCGAACACGTCATCCCCGTGGGCACGCCTGTCCCATTTCCTTTTAGATGTTCCAATTTCCTGCACGTCTTTTTTGCGCGTGCACTGCTGCTTTATTGGCGTAAATCGTCACGCATACCTGTTGCACCGACCTGCTTGCGGTGATGAACCACGCGATGACGCAGCTAAGTTCTTTCATGTGCAGCGCAGTGTTGGTTCGTGAGTCGCTTCTCGCCACAATCGATTTGGGGCCGAGTCTTCAGGCTCCTGCGTTGGTGCCGGTGATGATAGTCTGACTGTGTTTGTGTAGACCTACTCTGATTATATTTGCCATTCCTTTTGATGCATCTTAAACGGCTTTCCAGTCGGGACTTCTTGCCCCTGGGCTGACGTCAAGTAGAATACAGCGAACCGCATCATTCACTCGGCTCCTCTACTTAACGCATACAGAAAAACGATTTCTTTCCTTTGCAGGAGACTTGGTAATCGCCGATTACACTGACTTTTTGACTTATTTATCGCAGGTAGTCCATGATACACGGCACATTTGGCCAGTGCTTCTCAGTCTTGCCAAACCAGAATGGTATAGATTGTTCGGCAATATGGCTCATCAGTTTTGGAAGTCATGTTTTCGCTTGCGTTCTCCGAATGGCAGCTTTCTAGCGCAAAACGAAGCCTTAGCACTGGGCAGGTCATTGCACTTGTTTATAGACTAGGGGCTCGTAAACCATGACTCAAACACCTGTCGGTTTACACGATTGCCTTATCAAATTTGAAAATGCCCCATCGAATGAACCGCGACTTTAGAATTGCAATCATCCATCCGCATGCCTGCAGCTTTTTTGAAAATTCTCGTTCATTGAAGTCTTCCATATTCTCCGAAGTACATGATTTGTCCGCAGCTGCACCAACTCTGATAGACGAATCTACGCGTTTCCTGCCGCGGCAATAGGTCTTTTGGCTTTTTTGCCTGACGTCTAATGACTAACTAGAAATGGTGCGAGAAGGCTTCCAACGGCCACCGCTACGATTTCATTCTATGCAATGTCTCGCCAAAATTAAGAATCGCTGTGCTTTTGTTGTTCGTCTTGTATGAGTAGTTTTGCGGGTAGGCCTTTTTCTCTGAACATTCGTCGAAGATAATTCAGTTGTGTTACTTTGTCTTCCGGTTCACTGCAAGATTACGGATTTCGGTTTTATGTGGAGTCAGTCTTTCGTTTGAACTTTTCCTATGGGACTTTGAGGTGGCTTTCGACCAGCCAGTTAGAATGGGCAGTAGTTTGGGTCTTCGGGGTGCGTTTTTACAGTTTACTGCGCGTGTAGAGGTATCATGTGGGCACCAGGAGGAACCTTTTACGCGTATAACTCGCGTGCTTAATGTTTGACACTTTTTAATAAGTGCCTCTGTGGTCTCGCATAAGTGAGACTGTCACGAAATCTACGCCAAAAGGGAACCGATGCAACCTGATCGTCAGTCCTGAGTTGGGTCGATTTGTCCAAGTCGTGCTTCTCAGTCGCTCCCTCTACTTAACGCCTACGGAGGTATGGATTGTCCTTTCCGTTGGGGTGAATCTAGTGGCCGTCGGTTTAACTGGCTTATCGTGAACAGTCCGTGACACAAGTAACCGTCGCCATTCTCAGTTTATCTCAGGACCGAACAATATAGAAGTAGCGAACAGGTGAACTGAACCTCTTATCTTACCTCTTACCTAACCTTTGTAGTATGTAACTAAACTAAAATTAACCTAAAATTTAACTAAATAATAAGCTAAGAACTAAACTAAAATTAAAAGTAAACGCAAGACTAGGGATTAAGGGTATATGAAGTGGGCGAATAAATTTATTTTTTACCAGCTCGCTATGTATCAATGTAATTTCCTTTGAGTTGATCTTTGACGGGCATTTCTTTAGGGCTGGAAATTAGCAGACAGGTGATGTCAGACGATATCATTTCTTTCGCCGGCACTTATTTATTTCGTGAAAGCTTCCAGTGTAGCCATCGGCACGAAATATTCTTGCCGTTGGAGTGGACATGGCGACCGTCGGTTTAACTGGCTTATAGACTAATGTCAGGTCAGGTGGTCCTTGCCACAAGGAAACTTGGCCGTTACTTCCCTGTTTACCCCGAGACAGAGCAGGATAGAAGAAGCTGACAGATAAAATGACGCTCTTATCTTTCAGATGGTTGTGGATTTTAGTTTTGCCTAGAGCCAATCATCTGAAAGGTCGGCTCGCCATGGTATTTTAGTACTGTAACAGAGAAGGGTAGTTTGCAGTTACCGGGTGCGTCTTCACGGTTCTCTGCGCGCGTAGAGGCGTTATATGGGGCCTCAAGTAAGGGAACCCGTAGACTCCCCTCTCACGCCTCCAACTCACGTGTTGGTTCCTTACTTGATGTTTGGCACTTTTAAACAAGCGCCTGTGTGCGAGCTCTCATAT